TATTGAAAGTAAAGAGTTATTCAATGAATATATATTCCGTACCTTGCAGTTAAAACACTATTATTATACACGTAAATTCGTGCATTTATTCATTTAGAGATCCCAGTTTAATTACCAAGATATTTATTGTTGAAAGAAATAATGGTCCTCGCGAAAGGGTTTATTATTAATTTCTCATTCAATATCGTAAAATCTGATGTTAAAATTAACCTCAATCGCTCTATGCGAAAACGACTGAAAACACTCTGATCATTAGCCAGTAGCCATTAATTATGGAAAAGGAAGGAATCATCATTTAACGTTCTCTTGAAATAGTGCAAGTAATTTCCATCAATTTGCCCGAGTCAGATAAATGGAAGTGAGAAGAGCGAAATAAAAGAATCTATATTCACTGCGGCGCGAAATTATAGACGCGGAATCAATTACAAATCGATAAAAAAAAATGTTCGTCACGTTTTTGTATCGCTCCCTACTACACGAACTATATTTTTAACGAACGAGAATAAAACATTACGCTTCGCGGCAGTTCGATGTGATGAACACAATAAATACATTTGAATCTTGTTTGTGTGTAACGGAGGAAGGGCCAACATGCACGTGTATCAAGTAATCCCGCATCAAGGTAAAATCGTATTTCGTAACTATTTAGTTTAGAACGAAAATAACGTCATGTTGCTTCAAAAATTGAATTCTCGTAACAGCGTATTGTGTACAATAGCATCGTAAAACGTAACCTATATATATATATTTTTTTTTCCTTTTTAAATATCATGTATCCTCCAGTATATTTAACTACGTACATTGTCTGTACGATTATTTTTTACGGAATTAATAAAAATGGCACAACTTCAGTGTGCAATGTGGGTACTAACGAGATATCTATTTTATGTAACAATTTACAATTATTATTCGAAATAAATCCTTTTTAATATTATAAAACGAAGTAAAAAAATGTATCCGCAGGTATACCTTAAGATCAGAGAGGAAGATGAAGTTTTAAATCATGTAACATTCGAGAAGATACTCGACGGGCAACAGTCATCTCATCATGACGTTGAAACATGGAAACGCTTACGGATCACATTTATAGTCATTAGTGGCTTCTTGTGCAAAGTAAAGATGGAAGGGAAGAGAGAGAGAGGGGGGGGAGGGAGAGAGAGAAAGAAAGAGGGGTCGCTCGTACAATCCTCCTTCATTTCGCAGCGCGTAATTCTTGCAGTTAACATGACAATAGATCCTCTCTTATCGGGCGTATACCGGTAGAACGAGAAAGGGACTGCCGCGGGAATAAAAGCCATGCAGCAGAATCGATGCAAACGCGCGCGGACGACTCGCTTGGCGCGACCAGACCGAAACTTATGCCCGTGTTCTCCGTCCAATCCGTGAAATTAATCTAGCTTTTGCCCAGAGATACCCATCCGCGCCAAGGGAGGAGCGATAAGACGTTGGAAACGGCGATAGCCACTCTCCTTTATTTCCCAGTCGAAAAATGAGCCTTTATTTCATCGGCGAAATGCGAAGAGAGCAGCGTTTCTGGCACCTAAACGGCGCAAGAAACGCGACAGGCTCACCATGAGAGGGACTTTGGGAACCACGGCGAGGCAGTCGAGGTCCGGCGGTACGTAATGCAACGGTTTATTGCTAATATTTCTTCGGAGTAATATCGGCGCTCCCGAGAGTGCTTGGCTTTCTCTTATATACCGCGGAAACTTAACAACGTCTCGGATTCGAATCCTCGGCATTACTCGCACACGCACTCGCATCCTTTCCGTATAACACGGAGATATTTTATCTTTTCGCACACAAATCACCGCGCGAAAGATCCTTCCGTCCTTTCCAAAAAAAAAACAAAACGAGAGATCTCTCCTTTGCATGTAAAAACATCGACACATTTTAAATAGATACAGACCAATAAGTTAAATTTTCACGTAACGGATATATAATTCGTTCGATCGGAATTTGGTCTCTCAATTAATCTCACACAGTCGCGGTTCAAACAGTAATACATATATTTGCAAGAAAGACGTTACGTTTCGACCGAATGAATTTTTCCAGACTTGACCGAAGATTTGTAAATATCCGAAAGTCGATTGCTGTAAACGTAACTTGACTCCTTGGATCGAGCGATGCCGAATAAAGCGAGTTGAAATTTGTTTAGCAAAATGCTTTCGAATTCGCGTGAGAACGTTTATGCATCGCTGACTACCGGCACCTCTTCTGGCATCAACCACTGGCATACTTTGTACAAATGCTACGGCGCATACTCGCGCGCGCGCGCGCCCGCCCGTCGCTCCATTCACTCGGAGCGATTAAACGTAACGAGCGCCATTATTGAGGAAGAACGTGCGAGGAAGAACGGAGAGGCAAAGAAACGATCAAAGTTCGACGGACAACGCGGCCTTTCAGGCACTAGCCGCGACATTAATAGCTTCCAGAATTAAATGTGGCTCGGCCCTGCTTGTCGCGACTCGCGCATACGATCGCACACGGAATATATATACACACACGTACGTATATACGTACACGAGTGTACTTCTCTATCTATGAAAACGAATCGACCGTGAACGCGTCTCGAGAATATTCGGATATGTATGGCTACGACAAGCTGCTCCCTCGTGTGGATGTTATCTTTTTGCCACTCGCTATCTAATCGGAGGGGGCTTTCGACGTATGCGTGTATATTCGTGACCGAGTCTAAAAACGATAGTACGCGCGTAACGGGAAAATTTACAATCATAGTCACAAGAACGAGTTCACCGTGTGCTACTAAAACATGTAATCGACAATAATTCGATTATTGCTTGACAGATTTAGAGCAGATCTCTTTCAGCGACAACGTGGAAAACCCAATTGTGTACGTAAAAATGGATCTTTCTCTTTAACAGATATTTAATCGAGTTTTCTTAATCGAGAGAGATAAGATTATTTCAAATAATTAATAGAATGTAGAAATGTGTGTCAGGTAATCTTATAACGCTGGTTCCCAGAGATTTACTGTTAATAAGTTATTATTTCTTCTACACAATACAATAATAATATAATGACGACTAATGCGAGTGATAAATATATGCATACTTCAGCATTAATACCGTATATTAAATGAGCGATTCCAAACGTTTTTTTTTTTTTTTATGACTTTAAAAAGAGTTTTTGGAACCGCCATAAAATAATCACAGGTTCATTTAACGCGCAACTTTTCTGGCAATGTAAAATATTTAATGCAAAATGTTCGCATGAATTAACTTTTTATCGAAGTGTGTTAAAATTTTAACACACCGCGCGACAATAATAGGCACTAGCTTCAACGAAAGCGCGTTGTTCATCGGTCGTAAAATCTGCAATTCCGTTTGAAAGTATACAATAGGCGAGAAGCACTATGCGTTATTCCGCTAATCTTCGCTTTCGTGTATAATCCAAGATAAGTAAAAGAAGATAACGACGAAGTTTATTGCAGAAAAGTGTAACACAATGTTACACCGGCGTATGTACTCACAATTACGCGACTGCCGCACCTCACGTGTATCACACGTATATGTACACATAGAGACACGTACACCTCCTCGCTTTATCTAATCGCGAACGTGCGTGTATAGGTGCCATCAGACAATACGGCACCATACGACGATCCGGCGCGGACGAACGTCGAGAGCTCGAGGGTCTCCTTGAATTTTTACATAATAAGACCCGTTGCCTCCCCGAGTCTGATTTATTGACGATGTCGATTGGTACTCTCGCTCCCCGCGCGTTGAATAATTGTCGCTATTAATAACTGCGAATTCAATTCTCCGGTTCAATATCAAGACGGCGAGCCGCGCCCTCGATGCTCTCTCTCTCTCTCTCTCTCTCTCTCTCTCTCTCTCTCTCTCTTTCTCTCTCTCTCTCCCCCTCTTTCTCGCCTTTCATTTAATCGCGCCTTGCCTCGGGAACGCGTACGAGAGACGGTATATTCTAAAATCTATAAACCAGCGTTTCCCCCCCCC